AAAAAATCTGAAGTGGCCACAGAGCTTTCTAGCGGTGAGAGCTGTAAGCAACAGCACTGGATGATTCAAGAGACCTAAAAAAGGGATGAGGACAAGATGCTGCTGAGCACGCCTGTCTCCGGCTGTCAGATCTGCCTCCATTTAGCAGAGCTGCGGCAGCGTACATGGGGTGGCACGCCGAGCTGCTGTTGCGAGACTGCTTGTCCCGACAGATTTGAAAATAGGGCCTGTGCGTTTCAGGCGCTGCTGTGCCAAATTCATTTCCCTTTGTTTCACTAAGCCTGTGGGCTGGCGCAGTGAATCGCTGCAGAGGTGCTTTTTCATAATGCACTGGCAGGGGATGCGGGTGTACATAAGCCAGCAATCCTTGCCCTCCTGGCTCAGTGGGCCAGAGTGGGGCTTAAAAGAAAGGCTTTTGCTCAAACCTCAGGCAGTGGCGTAAGTATTTTGAGTTGAATTTGTGACACTGGCAGATTTTTGTCAGAAATTTGGGCACGTTCTTTACTATTTGATGTGTGAAAACACTCATTCTGGGGGTGTGGGGCCGGACATACTTCTTTTCCTCTGTGTCAGGCACCATTTGGAGCAATATAGCTCAAGCTGAAGGCGTGCTATAAAAATAGGCAGCCTCTTTGCTGCCGTTGGGAGCTTCTGAAGCAGAGTCTCCAGGCAGAGGCTGCTCTCTGCAAGCCTGTGGTGTCTGCACTTGTTGACCGTTCCCTAGCTGCATCCTTCGCTGTATGGGAGTGTTCTCTGATAAATATTGGGTCTCTTCCTTATAAATGGGGGTGGGCTTTTTAGAGTTGATGAGCTTCTCATTTAACAGTCTTGAAAGGGAGAGAGCAGCCAAATCGCCCCCTGTCCTCCAGGACTTGGCAGGGGGCTGCGTGTTTTGAGCACGTTTGGCAGAGTTTTGGTGTTCTGACTCAGCAAATGGTAACAAAGGGAGGATGGCGAAGCCTTCCTTTATTCCATAATCCTGTTTGCTTTTCTGGAAACCAGCTATAGCCTCGGAATCACTGACTCAATTTTTGGATCCTATTCTCATGACAAAGCGGCTGTCTGGTTTAAAACAAGCCCATTATAAAAAGGGTGCCTCGCATCCTGGCTGCTTGTAACAGCTTCTGACGTTCCTCCAGCACTGAGGAGCTTGGCTGGAACGGAAAATGTCCAGAGCTGGAACCAAGGTAAGTTTATTTGCAGCCTATTCATGATTGTGGTTAGGAGTACAGAATTTACCAGGGATAGGTTGTGGAGAAACTTTGGATTCTTTGTTCTGCTGACAGCTTTCCACCTCCATCAGTCCGTTGGCAAGAGGAGATACTTGAAATCCCTTGACAAGTAGAGGAAAGCTGGAGCTGAGCCCTCCTTTAGTCTTTTCCCAGATCTTGGCTGTTTCCTCTAGGTGTGGCTGTGCAAGAGGATGGAGTTGAACACAGTGACCGGTGAGGGGATATTTTAAAATGCACCAGAACCTGATGCCTTGTAAATTGTCAGCAGAGACTGCTGGGCCAGGAGCCAACGTGACCAACAGCATTTGCAGAGCAGCGGCTCAGGGAAGGCTTCCTTGGGAGGACCTGAGTCCCAAAGCCACATCCCCCTTCCGTGGCGGAGCAAAGGGTTGTGCTGTGACAGAAAGACACCTGAATGATGACTGCAGCACCAAAGGCGATGGCATTCCCCGAGAGATGCGGACCGACCTTGTGATTTGTTGGAATTGGCAGAGGAATTTAAACTGGAGGAGGAGGTAGATCAGAAAGCTCAACTTCAGCTGGAGTGACAGGCATCAGATGGGGATCCAGCTCTGATGCTGTGTTCTTTGCCTTGCAAGTTAGCAGAGCTGAGCTGGTTGGTCGTGTGGACCTTGCGGCAGGGTTGGGACTGAGCAGGGGTAAACAGCTGGGAAAGGAGGGCGAGAACTTTGGGCTCATGGCCAGTTTCTCCTGTGGAGTGTTAAACAAATGTTAAGAGGCTGTGGACAGATGTACGTCTTCCCATTGTATTAGTTTTGCTTTTGGGTTACTTTCCTTTTAACCTGTGGAGAGCATAAGAGCTAAGGGGGCAGAGGGCTCGGAATCAGAGTGGTGGTGTCGGCAATGGCCAATGCTCTGGAAGATCTGGATTTGATCTCTGCTGCACCTCTCCTCTGTGATCTTGGCTATTTGATAGCCATCAAATCAAAGTGATTTGGTGATTTCTGAGCAGTTTTTAGAAACTGAACATGGTGTGCCGCTTCCTTCTAACCTGGTGGCTGCCAGTCTTTGTGTACCCATGCGTAGAGAAGGTGCTGGGGAAACGTGGCTGATGTATGCTTGAGTCCCCTGTATTCTTGAAGAGAGTTAAGCACATTCTGCCTTTAACCCTGCTGAAAGCCATGTCCCCTGTGAGTGTGCCACGGGGAATTTGTTGATGATGTGCTGCTGTGCTGCAGCAAAATGACCAAGAGGAGTTAAGTCAGTGAAAGAACGCAAATCTCATCTTTTCTCCATGCCATGCTCTTGCCTAGCACATTCCAGGGAGAAGAGAAGGGCGAAGGAGAGAATTAAACACTATTTCCCACAACCTAAGCAAGTGGTCTGCCCTAGAAAGGAGTTGCTGCCTCCATCCCACTTTCTTAGAGAGCAGTGGGCGTTCCTGGTTATGGCTTACAGTTATCGTTTACAGGTTTCCTTCTCGCAGAGCTGCTGTTGGGAAAGAAATGCGATAACTACCGTGAGGTGGCCAAAGGAATAAGTCCAAATAGCCATGTCCTGGTTTTGGCTGGGACAGAGTTCATTTTCTTCCTAGCAGCAGGCACAGCACTGTGTTTTGGAGTTAGGATGGGAAGAATGTTGATAACTCACTGATGGTTCAGTTGTTGCTGAGCAGGGCTCACACTGGTTAAGGACTTTTCAGCTTCCCCTGCTCTGCCAGGGACACAAGGAGCTGGGAGGAGGCACAGCCAGGACAGCTGCCCCAACCTGGCCCCAGGGCTATTCCAGACCATACAGCATCATGCCCAGTATAGAAACTGGGGGAAGAAGAAGGAAGGGGGAGGTGTTCAGAGCTATGGTGTTTGTCTTCCCAAGTCACCATTACACGTGATGGAGCCTGGCTGTCCTGGGGATGGCTGAGTACCCACCTGCCAGTGGGAAGCAGGGAATGAATCCCTTGTTTTGTTTTGCTTGCGCGCGCAGCTTTTGCTCTCCTTGTTAAGCTGTCTTTATCTCAACCCACGAGTTTTCTCACTTTCACCTTTCCGATTCTCCACCATCCCACCAGGGGGGTGTGAGCGAGCGGCTGCATGGGGCTTAGTTGCCAGCCGGGGTAAAACCACAACAGACATGATCGTTTGGGAACCCTTGTTGCGAAGAGCAGCTCTTGATGAATAGTTGTCATCCGGAAGGATCTAAAAATGGGGCTGTATGAAGGACTGGTCTGGGTCTAGGCTTGGCGATATTTCCATGAAGGGCTTTTTGAAGAAAGTGCATGTCGCCTCTCCAGGGCTGGCTGGGTTGGTGACACCTCGGGCGAGAGGAATGGGATTTGCTCACCAGCTCTTGAGAACATTTTGGAAAGCTTGTGATCGAGTACGGAAAAGTGTCCCTAAGCAAAGTGCTTTTCAGTTGGCTGCCTGGCTGTAGAGCAGCTCTTGGGAAAGAAATGTGATGGATCGGAAATTTGTCAGCTGATTCTCAAACTTGCAGCAACCAAAGCAGAAGCAGCCAGCTGCAAATGCAATCCTTGGATGTCCCAAGAACTGTGCCACCCACCACGTACATGGAGCGTTCCTTTAGTTTTTCTTGGTGCTGGTAAAGCTTATGTGATGTCCAGCTTTTCACATTGACTCTTGAGACGACAAGCTGTGGACCGTTGGAATGGGAACAAGGAGAACGATTGCAGGTCTAGAAGGCATGAACCAAGATGAAAGAGACCTCACCACCCCCTTATCAGTAAAGGTCTTAATTACAAACACTTGGTAAGCCAGTATAAGTGAAACGCTGCTTAGTACAGTCCATTGTGCCAGGGGAGGTTTAGGTTGGACATTGGGAAAAATTCCTTCCCCACAAGGGCTGTCAAGCCCTGGAAGGGGCTTCCCAGGGAAGGGGTTGAGTCGCCACCCCTGGGGGTATTTAGAAGCCGGGCAGCCGAGGTGCTTAGGGCCAGGGTTTAGTAGTGGGATGGCAGGGTTAAGGTAATGGTTGGGCTCTATGATCTTAAAGGGCTTTTCCAACCCAAACGATTCTATGACTGGCTACTTACTGCTCCTTTGGCCATAATTTAGTAACTACTGATCTAGAGAAGGTGGGAGGGAAATGTATAAGTAGTGTTTTGCTGCAAAGAAGACAGGGACTTCATCAAGGGAGCTTTGGGTTGGATTGGGACAGAACTAGGTGCTGGCAAGGGCAGCTGGAGGCGTTGGGGCCAGACTGGTGAGTTGGATGCCAGGGTTAGATGGGATGCAGTTGATCCTGCTCAATGGCTGGGCTTTTGATGACTTTTTGACATCTCGAGGGCTTTGTTTTCAGATATTCCATGCTGCAATGCGGCTAGAATATGGATGCTGGGGGCTGAGGAACCTCCCTGCTTTCCTTTCTCTGCTTGCGTTTCAGGTCACCTTCTACGAAGACAAGAATTTCCTAGGCCGTTGCTACGAGTGTGACAGTGACTGCCCCGATTTTCACACCTACCTGAGCCGCTGCAACTCCATCCGGGTGGATGGAGGCACCTGGGTGGCCTACGAGAGGCCAAACTTTTCTGGGAACATGTACGTTCTGACGCACGGGGAGTATCCTGACTACCACCACTGGATGGGCCTTAATGACCGCCTCAGCTCCTGCAAAGCAGTCCAGATAGTAAGTGTCGCCTCTTCCCAAGGGACATTTTCATTTATGCACCTATCATTAAAGGGTTTCAGCATCCTTTTGGGTGGCCCCCATCTTCCTGGGGACCCGTGGGAGCTCCCTTGGAGACGGCAGCTGTAGGGGGTTTGCTCCCGCAGTCCTGCTCCAGGAATGGCAAGGTGTTTGGCGAGTGGAGAAGGTAAATCTTTTCCACTTTTGACTGCAATGGGAAAAAGCAGGTCCCATGGAGTGCTTTGTAGGTGAGTTTCCATAGGAACAGCAGCGTAGTTTTATCTGCATGTTCCTCTAGGGACTTTAGTGCTCGCTTTAGTGTCCGGGCAGGTCGCTCCAAGGTTTGCCTCTTGCCTTCCTCCCCTGCGGTGTGCTGCCAACTGATCCAAATCTGCTGGTGGGAGCAAGGCTTTTAAGAGCGGGACGTAGATTTTGCAGGAGCACTCAGAATGAGGGGCAATTTTGTTTGCCTCTCCAGCAAGCCAGGGCTCCCTTCTGGTACAGGGAACTGAACCTCAGTATCACCAAGCCCCTCTGGACATGGGGAGAGCAGCCTCAGGAGTAACCAGGGGTGGGAGGGATGCCTGAAGCCCTCCTCGGGTGTGCTTGGAGGAGCCGGGCGTCTCCTGGTGTTAGGAGAGTGCAGGGCAATGAATGTCTCCCCACTGCAGCACAAGAACCGTGCTCATCCCCTCTTCACTGACGATGAGGAGATGCTTCTGCAGCCTCCGGCAGGACCTGTCCTTCCACTAGCAGGAGATGGGATAAATGTAGGTTGACAGTGAGCAGTGTTTGCACCCTGTGGAAGCACGGAGAAGGAGAAAGGCTTCCCAATGGGACTGTTCCTTCTGTTCCTATGGGGAGAAGCACCCTTTAAAACTGGCAGGGATGGGAGTGTTGATGGAGCACAGACTGGGGTTGAGACACCGAGTGCTGCTGCCGCTGTGGTTTTGCCAGCAGCAGGGCAGGCGCTGATGGTCGGTACATTGCTGACTTGGGTAGCACAGCCACGGATTCCCACTGCATGGGGCAGGTCTCACAGCTGAGAATGGGTTTTGCTTTTATGTCTGGAGGTCTAATGCCACTTTGAGCCTGTTTCTGTGTTTGAGCTAGGTCTAAACCCATTTGCATAGGGTAAGGAGAGTTTCCAGCCAGTTCAGGGCACTGATCTGACGTAAGGAATGGAGCCAAAACATGTGGGAGGTATAACAGCAACACAGGATGAAATGTGGAGGCCGCATCCTGCAGGTCCACCTGGTGCCTGGCTTCGCCTCCTACACACTGGGGAGGTTGCACGGGGACCTGCTGCTTTCAGGCATTCGGTCGGAGCACCTTGGAGAAGCCGCAGCAGCAGCGCAGGGATCCGAGAGATCCTGCAGAGCTCGGCCGGGCTGGCAATG